ACCACTACTGTGACTTTGGGCAATTCATTTCCTTCTCTATGCCTTTCAGTGTCATCATTTTAACACGTCATAGCCATAAAAACTGTATGCCAGGAAAGAGTTCCAAACAACACCTAGGAGAGTATACTTGTCCCCTGGGAGTAACCACCATTGTGCAACTATTTCCTAAAATCAGAGTTGGAAGAAGGGCCAGATAGATGGCAGCTAGTGGAAGTCTTCATAAAATATAAGCCAATCCTACCTGCCAGGGACCTATAAGGGATTTGAGAAGCCTAAATTTCAAACGCTGCAATCTTTTCCACTATGATATACCATATGTTTGAGCAGAACCAATCTTTAAAAGCAAAAAAACAGAAATACACTATAGGAAAATACTTCTAGACTGCCAACATGGTGTTAAAAGGTTTGAAAGACTTGTCAAAGCATATGTTCACCAGGTCACTGAGGGAGTCTAGAACATCATTTCTGCTTAAGTTGCTGAATGCTTTTGCCTTTCCAGCTACTTTCAGACTAGTTAAGGGACATTTATAACAGAGCAAATAAAATCAAGTGACAAATATAATTACACAACATCTTAAAAGCAAGTTACTTATGTTCCTCAATTGGTACAATCACAACTCCTTTTCGTTCAGACCTGTGAAAAAGAACCATCTGTATTTGTGTCCCTAAGCTTTCCCGTACCTGCGTCTTGAACATAGTCAAGTTCAAGTCCTCCCGGTGCCCCCAGGTGCCTTAGGTTGGATTCCCCTTTGACAACCACAAACTGTGGTTTCCATAACAAGCTGCTCTGAAAGTGGTTCTGTACCCCCAGGCACCAGTTTGGTCCCTAGTGGCTGGCAGCTTAAACTCTTTGTGAGTAGTTTCTGGGCCCCAACCTCACCATTCACCTAGGAAGCCTGGGCCTTAACCCTTCAGGACTCAGACCTCTGGCAGCCTACACGTTGTGGTCTTTACCCACCGTTGGCTGAAGCACCTCAGCATGTGTGGAGTTTGACAGATTGGGACCAGCAGGTGGTTAAACTGCAGGAAAAAGGGTTATATACAAAATCCAACAGTCCAGCCTGCTCTGGAGAACCAGGAAAGCTGCAATTTGCTTTGTTAACTTCCTTGTCACCATTCTAACAGAGGAAGCACAGAAGTGAGAACAATTGTGGCGGTTCCAGCTTAGCATTTTTTCAGCTATACCACACCACCTTACAGCTTGAAGATACTATGCAAGGATTTTACAGATACTGGACAGAGGGCCAGGACAACAGGACAAAAAGAGAGCCTTGCCCTAGCTGGTTTGGCTCCATGGATAGAGCATCAGCCTGCAGCCTGAAGGGTCCCAGGTTCGATTCCAGTCAAGGGCACATGCCCGGGTTGGGGGCTCAGGTCACTCATGTTCCTATCTCTCGCTCCCTTTATGAAATCAATAAAAATGTATTTTTCAAAAATATATTTTACACACACACACAGGTCTCTCCTGGGGCAGTTCTATGGATTGGACATTCCTGACCTTCAGTGCTGGTCACATAGATAAGGCTCTATGTCCTACACATCTAGATGGCATATTATGAAGCTACTGTACCATAACATAGAAGGAAAAAAAGCAAATTAAAATTATAGTCTCCTCAATTATGTAAAAGAAAAAAAAGCCTAGAAGATAAATTAGCTGTTTGCTAACTAGTGTTTCCAATGGGGGAGAGAACCTATTGTCCTTAGTCCTATCATGTATGACATTCGATTAAAGTTATTTGGCACCCTGGCCAGGTAGCTCAGTGAGTTAGTGTCATCTCAATACACCAAGGTTGCGGGTTCAATCCTTGGTCAGGGCATATACAAGAATCTAGCAATGAATGCATAAATAAGTGAAACAAAAAATAGATGTTTTTCTCTCTCCTTTCCCCTTGCTTGAAAAATTTATAAATTAAAATAGTAATCTGGCATCAAGTTCTTGTGATATTTTCTACCTAACCGTTCAAAACAACATATGCATGGTCACACTATTTTTCAAGTTTTGCTGACATTAAAAAGAACCCTAGGCCGTAACCGGTTTGGCTCAGTGGATAGAGCGTCAACCTGCGGACTGAAGGGTCCCAGGTTCGATTCCGGTCAAGGGCATGTACCTTGGTTGCGGGCACATCCCCAGTGAGGGGTGTGCAGGAGGCAGCTGATCGATGTTTCTCTCTCATCAATGTTTCTGACTCTCTATCCCTCTCCCTTCCTCTCTGTAAAAAATCAATAAAATATATTTAAAAAAATAAAAATAAAAAATAAATAAATAAAAAGAACCCTAGACTATTCTCACCTGGATTTTAACCTCTCCCCTTTAGCCATTCTATGTGGATGAAAAGACCAAGCACTCTGGCACAATAACTTAGTGGTTTCCTCATTTGTGTCCAAATTTCCCTTCTAGTATCTCGCTGCACCTACCGAAGCCTCCGTTGGTGGGTTATGTTATCTGGCCCTTCACTAGGCTGCTATCATCTACTACTCTCCTCTACCCTTGCTCTGTCTAGTTATGTGGTCTCCCTTATCTCAATCAAATTGACTGGGACCTCCTAGCATTCACACAGCAGGCTGGCACCATCACCTATCTGCTGCTGAAGTACCAGTGATCACCTGTACCTATTTCTATAGCACTTTCTGTGTTTGTGATATTATCCCCATGTGGCGGGCTGTTTGACGTATCTGACCTCTAGGAACTAATGCAAATAGCAATTCTAACAGTGATAACCAGAAGGCCACCCCCAGGACGGGGATAGGTATTATTGCCCCAGCTTGAGAACTCTGCCCTAGAGGGTAACTACAGAGTTACAACATTCAATCACCAAAGTAGCACCCAGTATTTCTGGGCCTAGTGCAGCACACAGGCAGATGCCCACAAGGGACACTACGTTATTCGGAAGACAACTACAATAGGACATGGGGGCAAAGGATCACCTAACATTGATCCAAGTCCTCATGGGTAGCAGCTGAAGAAATGAGAAAAATAAGCACAGAGCAGGAACTTCACAAAACTAAATTTATTTAAGAACTCTCCTGAGATATTATGTCCTCCCCCTTTGTTCTGGCATTAGGATGCGGAGAGTGTTTCTATACATTAGTGTGGGCATGCAAGTCACCTGCAGATCTTGTTAAAGGCAGTTCCTAATGCAGTAGAGGTCTGAGGCAGGGCCCAAGGGTTTCAACAATTCCCCAGGTGATCCCATCCACCTTCTAGCAGCTCAACCCAAAATATCAATGCTTTAGAGCCCAGTGTTATATCTTTTTGGAACCAAGCTTCTAACCAAAACAGGGTAAGCTTTCCTGGTACTATCTGCTCTAAACTGGATAAGGAAGTACCCCCACTTGCTCCAGTCCCCAAGATGTTCCATGACTCACTTAAAATATAGCTAGAGCTAGCACTAAAACCCAGTTAGATCTCTGAACTCCCAAGAGTTATTATTTTTTTAGATCTCTGAACTCCCAAGAGTTATTTTTTTCAATGAGCCAGGAGCCCAGGAAGTTTAATTTTAAAACAGAGAAATTGACTCAACTGAGAATACAGCAGGACCAAATGAAGGGTAGGCAGGTTTATACTGTTAAAATTAAATAGTAATACAAACATAAAAACATAGATACACAGCAAACAGCAAAGTACTATCAGTAACATGCACAAGGACAGCAGTAGAGGGACTTCCACTGTCCATATTTCTGAAGTGCTTTTAGATGAAACTAGCAAATGCTCTCCATCTCCTCTGTACAACATGCAACTTCCCATAGCAGCTAGCACCCAACACCAAGAAATTTATTCTAAAAAATATTCATTCCAGTAGTTGTTACTATAATTACAGAAGTTAAAATGAATGAGGCTCTGCCCTAACCGGTTTGGCTCAGTGGATAGAGCGTCGGCCTGCAGACTGAAAGGTCCCAGGTTCGATTCCGGCCAAGGGCATGTACCTTGGTTGCGGGCACATCCCCAGTGGGAGGTGTGCAGAAGGCAGCTGATTGATGTTTCTCTCTCATCGATATGTCTAGCTCTCTATCCCTCTCCTTTCCTCTCTGTGAAAAATCAATAAAATATATTTTAAAAAAAATTAATGAGGCTCCCCCTATAAAAATGAAGCTGAATTCCAAGAATCAAGACCCCTTCATAAGTTCTTTCTGTTTACAAGGTGATAGCCCTGGCCCTACAGTAAAAGATTGAAAAGTGGTTGCACATTTGTATTTTAAATGAAATAAAATGTATATGGCAACACATTTCATGATTCTTCCCTGTAGCCAACTGGATCTGGTCTTATTGGGTAAGAAGACTTTATTATCAGGAAGACAAAATGTCACATTTTCATAAAAAACTGGACACACTAAATAATCTCTGGGTTTTAAAATACCTATGAAAACAGCTAACATTACAGCACCATGAACAGCAATGAAAGGTGGTCCAAGGACAACTGAACTTGTTAGTCACAAGAGAGTAAGTTAGAAATGGTGGCTTTTGAATGTCACTTCAGTGACCTGGAAATATGCAGGCAAGGAAGTTCCACTTTCACACTAAAAGGGGAGCAAACTGATTATGAGAAACATTTCTCATACATTAACACAAAATTATCCCTTTTTGAGCACCACGTGCCTGGTACAAGTCTAGACACCCTACAAGTACTAACCCCTTTTAGCCTCTGAGGGCATTATTATTATTGCCTCCATGATACAGATGAGAAAACTGAGGCAGAGATTAACTTGCTTAAGGTTAACACACCTAGAAGACGGTGGGAATCGATCCAGGAAACTTGCTTCAAAGACCAACCTCTTCTCTACTTATATTGCCTCTTAACAACCTTATAGACTCTCATTTTAAAGGAAAACTGAGTCTGAACAGTTAAACCAAAATTTAATCCCAAGCATCATACAGAAGCCTGTAATCCCTTCACCAGGCATCAGTGTTAGTAAAATCTCTAGGGAAGAACAGAATCAGAGTGAAACATGGAAACACTGCACCCTACCTTTAATCAAGGCTCTAACCCCAGCCCCAATCGTACCTTCCCCGCTAAAATCAGTCTCCTGTGACGACTGCACCACAGCTTATCAACAAGGCTGTGGCGAGCACAGGCGATGCTGTACAGCTCAGGCTTAGACCTGCCAGGAAACACTGGCATCCACTCGGGAAGACAGGGTTGTTACCAGCTATTCCCATCGAAGCTTTAATGGCTTGAGGTCCAAGGACTTGAATATGGCCAGGCTCCTTTCACAGAACACACACAGTAACGTACATTTCACTGAAAACATTTTATTGGCCTTTTGGATAGAAACGGGAATTTATTTGCCAGGAAGGATGATGCCATCATACTGAAAGAGAAGAGATTTATTTTTTTTTTCAGAACAGGAGGCAACAGCAAAGATTGCAGCAATGGCTAATGTTTCATTTGAGAAGTCAAATCTGATACATGGATTTGGCTCTGAATCCCATACCCATTCTGAACTAAACAGAAACGGGCCAGTTTTAACAACTGCTACACTGTGCTCAACTGCACTACATCCCCCAAGAAAAAGGGGGCTCTTAGGAGAGCCGTTTTCCCACCCTCCGAGCTATCAGCATTCATGGAGGTGGAGAAAAGCCCCAATTCTGGGTGTTCTTTTAAACCATTAACCCTGGAAGCCCCCACTTACCAAGTTGCTCAAATATTCTATCTCAAAGAAGCTACCAACCAATTGGTGGTAGATTTTGCATCCCCAAATCCCAACTCCACTCACCACATTCCACCATTTCACCTGAGATAAATCAGCTTTACCTTCTGCTGGAACCAGCGCATGGCCTCCTCTTTGCTGATTCTGTGTTTGGCCCCAATGCAGCCTGTCCTGCGTTTCTTGTCTGCGATGCTGAAACCTGGCCTACCCAGCACCTGTCCCAGGAATAACCAACAGTCACCTCGCCAGCTCAGAGTCAACAGCAGACAGACAAGACTCACACACTGGAGAGATCGATCTTCAAGAGTCATCTGGTGGCCCAGTAATCCTGGAACTGATGGAACTGGTACCAGCACCGTGGACAACACACCACCACACACACTGTAGGTTTGCTTTGGAGGATGGAACTTGGCTGCACCTTCCCTCCTCCCTACCTCACTTCCAGTGGCAGCTAAGGATTCTCTACCACTGCTTCCCAATTTCCAAAGCACTTTTAATTTTTAAAAGCAATATTAAGAACAACCTTACCACATATGTATTGTACAGAATTTAAAATTCTGCGAAGTGACAAAGAAATAGTTTTATTTCACTCCTTCCACTTCAGAGCAAAAAGTCTTTCTTAAATTAGGTTTGCTGTTTCCTGACTCCCAACGAGCACCTGATTCTCATTACTGTTTGGATATCTAACTCCGACAAGGGTGCTGCCATCATTCAGGTTCCACACCAGTCAGGACTTCTGGTTTTGCTATTTAGTTTGATGGTTGGACCAAATCATAACAGTAACACAGATGGTCATTCCTACATTGAAATCCCCACCTGAGACAAACCAATCACATCACCAAACCTTCCTTCTGGATGGAAGCCACCCTCCCGCAGGGGCTAAGGGAAGGAGCTGGAAAGAGCAGCCTCAGTGCAGCCAACCCAAATGCCAAATGAGGCGCCCAACACTCGCTCTCAAATTTTCAATTCAGTGTCTGGACAACACTGTCTCTTCCTCCATCTTACAGCCATATTGGTGGTTGCTAGATCCTAGACTTTAAGCTTCACAAGAGCAATGACCTTGTCTGTCTAGTTCAGTGCTGCATCCCTAAACAGGGCACAGATGAGGCACATCTTCCAAAAGGAAAGAAGATAAAGGCAGACAACACTCAAAGTTTCAATCCAACACCCGAACATCAAAATAGCACACATGAAATAAAGGAGTAGCCGATTCCATGCTCCCTCCCAGAGAAGGAGTGGAAAAGACCAAATATTCATACCACATAGAAGTCCAGGCCGTAGATACCAATGCTTGGGTCATATTTGATCCCCAGATCGATGTGTTCCTAGATCCCAAAACCAAAGTTTCCAGTATCTGAGAAGTTATTTTTTCGTAATTCATACTCTCGCACCTGAGGAGATAAATGTAGCCAATCACACTCCTTGTCAACTCAAATCCCCCCAAAATAACGAACTTGGCTTGTAACACTCAGCACCGCAGAAATACAATTTGATCAGAAACAAAATCTGGTTTCCCCACTACACCAAATCACATCCCAACTATGGATTTCACAGAACTTTCCCAACTTTCCAAGGGCAGGGAAAACCCCCAGGAAACATCAGAGTATAGTTCAACTCTGCCAAATGCAGGAATAATCCTTTAGAAGTTCAGACATACAGATGACTCTGGCTGGGCAGCTCAGTTGGTCATAGTGTCAACCCCTTACACAAAGGTTGCGGGTTCGATCCTCAGTAAGGACACATACAAGAATCAATGAGTGCGTGAATAGGTCGAACAACAAATTGATGTGGTTTTTTTTTCTCTCTCTCTCTCCCTTCCTCTTTTTAGGGAAAAGCAAATCAAAACCACAATGGAATAACATCTCACACCAGGCAGAATGGCTATTATAAAAAAGATATGTGTTGTCAGGATGTGGAGAAAAAGGAACTTTTGTGCACTGTTGGTGGGAATGTAAATTGGTGCAGCCACTATGAAAACCAGTATGGAGGTTTCCCCAAAAATTAAGACACACCCAATCCTATGTTCACTATAGCATTATCTACAATAGCCAAGACATGAAAACAACCTAAGTTGCTCAATAGGGGATGAATGGATAAATATGTGGTATATATACACATACAATGGACTACTACTCAGCCATAAAAAAAAAATCTTGACATCTGCAATATAATGCCAAGGACTTTGAGGGTATTATGCTAATGAAATAAATCAGACAGAGAAAGAAACACCATCATTTCACTTACAGATGGGATCTAAAAAACAAAACTCCTAGATGCCAAAAAAAAGATTGGTGTGTGTGTGTGTGTGTGTGTGTGTGTGAGAGAGAAAGAGAGAGAGAGAGAGAGAGAGAGATGTGTTAAGAGGGTCAAGAGGAACAAACTTCCAGTTATAAAAAAGTCATGGGGATGTAACATACAGCATGGTGATTATAGTTAATAATACTGTGTTGCATTTTTGAAAGTTGCTAACAATAAATCTTAAAAGTTCTCATCACAAGAAAAAATTATTTTTTAATGTTGTACAGGACAATCAGGTTTATTGTGATAATTTCAATAAATAGCATACTGTACACATGAAACTAATAAAGTTATATGTTAATGACACTTAAAAAAAAAGGTACATGTGTTAAACTGGTGCTCGTTAGCATCACCCCCGTGCCAGGATGGGCCTCACCTTTAGACCTTTCTCCAAGATTTCTTCTGCCTTGGCCCCACGGACTGTGCAGTGGACAGCAATCTTTTCATTTCTCCTGATGCCAAAGGACCTGACGGTGTATCTGGCTGCAGGGCGGGGGGAACAGGGAGTCAGGGGTTGTCATACTCCCACTGCCTATTCCCCAGAACATCACCGCCCCGACTCCAAAGAGATACTAAGGATCTATCCACACTCTGAGTGGTGGTCTTCTAACCAGTGCCACCTACATCTTTTCATTGGTTTCATGGAAACGCAGAAAGACTTTCCCCACCCCAAGTCACTCAGCCACACTTAAGCAATTAAGAGGTCAGTCGTAATGTCTCGGGGAGGTAAGTTCACAACCAGAACAGGCCCCTAGAAAGGAAGGTGACCATTGTGTTCTACAAAAAAAAAACAAAACATTTTAGGGCAACAATAGCTAATGTTTGCCAAAATCTTATTGGACTGTCATCCCCATTTCACAGATGAGGTTCTGAGAGACTAACTTGTCTAAGATCGCAGTTGGCAATAAGCGGCGGGATCTGAACCCAAGGACTTGCCATATTCCACTATCTGAAAGCAACACAACCTGACCCTGTTCAGTGCCGCCTATATAACCCTACTTGCTAATCAGGCCTAGTGCCATTCACTGCTTCCCCAGCACTTCCCCTCCGCCCGCTCCCTTTCTTGGAAAACCTTTGCTTGGGCCAGTCCTAATCTCCGCTCACAGTAAAACCTTGTGGTCCAAACGCCACAACCAACCCTAAAAGGAAGGTATTTCTTGGGTTAGGCCAAAAAGTTAATGCTTTTAAGGGATGTCATCCGTCACTTTCAAAATGGGGCGCTCAAAAGGCTTGGCGGAGACCGGCCTCCAGCCCCCCGCGAGCCGCCACTCACTCACCTTTGGAGAAGACCGGGGTCTGGCCCGTGAGCTGCTCCAGGACCTTGGCTGCCCGCGTCAGTCGGTCCCCGCTCTCCCCGACGCAGATGTTGAGGCAGAGCTTGCGGATGCGCAGCTCCCGCATGGGGTTCTCCTTTTCCCCTTGATCCTGCTGTGAACAGCGGGCGCGGCGGTCACCACACGCGCGGCCCGCCCCGGCTGCGAGCGCTCTTTCCATACATTGCACGTTTCTCTCTGCTCAGCCCACCTCCCACCGGAAGCCCTAAGGACTGAGCAACTGTCGGGGCAGACAGCTCGGGGCCTTGTTCCTTCCTCCACGCGCGGAAGAGGGGAACGGAAACGTCGGGCAGGTCCCGAGGTTACAGACACCGAGGAGGAACCCCCAGGGGCTCAACATGCAGGGTGACGGGGAGCGCCCCATTTTAAGGCCGATGAGGGGAAAGGAAAAACAGAATTTAGCTGCTGAGGAAACGGGAAGCACGTGCTAATGCCGCGTCCCCCATCCCACTCGGAAGCAGCGCCGAGACCGCGGCAAAAGGCCGGCGGCCCTTCCCGTGCAGAGGTCCCGGCCGAGGTTCCCCAGCACCGGCCAAGCCCCAGGTCCTCGGGACCGGAAACAGGTGCGGACCCCTTCGTTCAAGCCGCTCGCTCTCGCTGCAGCCCACGGCCCGTGCTTCGGGGCCTCCGGGCGGCTGCCCCAGCTCGCTCTGAGGAGGACGTGAGGGAGGCGCCGGGGGCCGGCTCCGCGCTCTCGGCCCGCGGGGCTCCGAAGTTTCGGGACGGCCAGCAGCGACGGCTCCGTCCTCCTCGGGCTGCGGGCGAGGCAGCCCTCGGGGGCTCGGCAGGCCGTGGATGGAAGCGGATGAAGGGAAGCTAACCCGGGCCTCGGATACTCACCGCCATGATGAGAGACAGGAAGAGAGAGTGAAGTTTCCGGCGCAGGGCCTTATGGGACAGGAGGCGGGCTCTTTCCCACGCTAACCAGAGAGAAGAGGGGGAGAGAGAGGCGCGGCGTAGCGCCGGCTTCCCCCTCGTGGGCACTGCTAGCAACTGCAGGCAACGCTGGCGGACCACCAGCTTCCAGACTGGGTTTTACTTGGGTTTCCCGGCCCTCCTCCTCCCCTGGTCCAGTCTCAGGACCTGGTGGGTCTTGCGTGAAGAGACAGCCAGAACTGCATTAAATCAATCACACAAATTACAAAGCAGATAATTTATTCTGCAAAAAATGACATTTATACAGTTAGAACAGAGTGGCTTGAGTCCTGAGCTGTGTAGACAGGCAGATGTGGTCCTGTCTTGGCTAGCCAATAGCTATATGCTCTTGGACAGCTGACTAATTAGACCTCCTTCAACCTCAGTTTTCCTTATTTTTAAAATGGGCACATGATATTGTGAACATTAAATGAGGTAACTGTGTAGAGCATATAGTAAGTCCACAATAAGTGGTTACTTTTGTTATTAATATAACCCTACTGTATCCAAGCAACCCCCCAAAAAGTGTTAGACATGGTATACAATTAAGAGAGGGTCACCTGCAGACACCAAGACTGCTTATAGGTCAGTCTCTGACAGACGAGGTCTCCAATCCTGACTGTAAGAGGGCGCCCTGACTTACACTAAATCCTTAGCAGCAGGACCCAAGAGGTTGCCAGGATCCATATCCCAGGCAGGAGCTGACCTTGAGTCAGCCAGTTCCTTTAACAGGAACCAATGGGGAAAGAAGAACTTAGAGGACTTCGGTAGGAAAGGAGCCAAGCCGCTTTCTTATGCTGCCATAATCCCCTTCTCTCCTCGCTAGAGGGGAGATAGAGGCCCCTAGATGTCTCTGTTCCATCCATTGGGACAAAAGGGCACTCTGGGAAGCTGGTCTGAGGGCGGAGGGAGACGGCCTCCCTTTGAGCCTCCTCCTTCAAGCAGCCACTGGCTCACCCAGAGCTGGGGCCTCAGCCAGACCTCCAGGAGAGGGCAGCGCCGAAGGAGGGGCTGCTTCAAACCTTGGAATCAAGAGACCACTGAACGCAACACATGATCCTGCTTTTCTTTTGCTGTGAAGCATATTTTTGGGGTAACTGACAAAATCTGAATGACGTCTGTAGACTTCACAATGTATCCATGTTAATTTACAGCCCTCGCTCTGATTACTTAACCTTGGTTCCATAGGAGAATGTCCTTGGGTTTAAAAAAATACACATTCCATTTGGGGGTAAAGGAGCATCATAACTGTGGCTTACTCTCAAATGGTTCCGAAAAAAATATTGTACTTAGAGAGAAAAGGATAAAGCAAATGTGGTTGATTTAAGATTTAGGGGATCTAAGTGAAGTATACATGGGAGTTGGTGCAACTTCTCTGTGACTCTCAAATTGTCAAAGTGAAGTTAAGAAAATAATTCGAGGGAAACATGTCCCCTAAGAAGATAAAAGAGAGTTCATCCTCCAAAGTTCAGTCTTATTCTCTCTGCCCCCCCCCCAACTTTTTCCACTGAACTTCCCCCAAATAGCTCTCACTTGACCTAGTACCCACACTGTGTTGATGAGAATAGCTAATTAATTGCTGATTTACCATGGCCGGCAGGTACCAATTCACTTGACCTTTAACATCCCTGGGAGTCAGATACTATCTTGTTTTCCCATTTTACAGATGAACAAACAAGGCACAAGAAGTTTAGTAAGTTTTATAGACGCTATTTAAGTCTATAGTCTAATGCCAGAGTCCAATCTGGTTCTAAGAGCGGATGAACCAGGTCAGGGCCAAAAGCCACCCCAGGGTTCCCCCTTTGCACCTTTTCCTCCCCAGGAGCCCAGCTCTGTGGTTCTTGCACCAGTCAGGTCCCCAAAAGGAAGCAGAGGGGGCGGAATTAGCCCAGCATCTCCCACTCCTTCCTTGCTTGAGAGACATCCAGGTCAGGAGAGGCAGAGGCAAAAAGACTTGCTGTGCTTTACTCTCAGGACACAAACGCATCAGCAAAAAGAAAAACGCATTATTAAGGGCAGGTTTAGGACACTCAGGCAACACGAGAGCAACTCCAAGGCTTCTCCTTGAGCCGTGGGGGCTACTAAAGACTTCCTCAAGGCAGCGGTGGCCCTGTCTTGGCTAGCTAATGGCCATATGCCCTTGGACAAGCAGACTTGTAAACAAGGGCAGCATCATTGAGTATAAGACCTTCTAGGGCAGTGGTTCTCAACCTCCTGGCCCTTTAAATACAGTTCCTCATGTTGTGACCCCAACCATAAAATTATTTTCGTTGCTACTTCATAACTGTAATGTTGCTACTGTTATGAATCATAATGTAAATATCTGATATGCAGGATGGTCTTAGGCGACCCCTGTG